AAAACAAAGGAGCCCCGGCCAGAATCGCAGGCGCAGCGACCGAAGCGAATTGAAAGCGGACCCCGAACCTGGATTTCCTGACCGAGAGAGAGCAGAGGCACCACCCGACCCCTAACAGCTCCCCCCCGACGCGAACATGGCCATGGCCACAGCAGCACCGCCAGCACCCGCACTCGCACCCACAGCACCAGCAACAGCGGCACCAGCATCAGCACCAGCACCAGCACCAGCAGATGGTGGTTTCGAAGCTGCGGGCCATGCCCCGACTCTGAATCCCACACAGCTCTCGTCTGCTACGGTATCCGCATCCGCGTCCGCGTCCGCATCTCCTTCATCCTCATTCTCTTCGCAAAGTGCTGTTGCATTCCATACTCCCTCACTTTCTGCGACATCTTCAGCAAATTCACCTTCTTCACCTTACCACGCACATCGGCTGAGCCACAACTCGTCCAAGCTCCCTGCTTTTCGATTCGCCGACTTACACAAGCAATACCAATCCCCACGCCTAGTGCTCCCCTCACTACTGCAGCACATCCCGCCGTCGCCTGTCTCGCCTAAATCGACTCCAACATCCAACGAAATTCACTCGGCAACTGCGATTGGCACTGCCACCGACACAATCACTTTCACCGACACAGACGCCCTCACTGACACTGACATTGGCATTGGCATAACCACCGACACTGACACCGCCTCTCCCACCACCCTTCCAACAACGTCAGACCTGCAGCTGCACCACCAGCAGCCACAACAACACAACGTCGACCCGGAAAACAACATCCCACCCCAAAACACCCGTTCGACTTCACTTCGACTACACGATCGGCGCCCCTCCCATCGCCAATTGTCCCAACTCTCCCCTCGGATTTCGAGTCCTATTCACGAACTACCAGAGTCGCCTCCAAAACTCAGCCCTCGATCACGCGCATCAACGTATCAGGTTGCTACCCAGTCCACCCCTGCAGCTTCAGCCACCTCACCAAGACGGCCCGCGTCTTATCCCGACCGCCCCGTCATCGTGCAGTCCATCTCATCCCCCAGCAACGTCACAGATCTCAAGACACCCGCCCCTCTCTCCCGACTGCAAACTCGACGTGCGGCTGCATACCGATCCCGCGAGTCGAATGCGACCGACACCGAGTCACCATCCGCAGACACCGATCACTTGCAAACCCCCGACACTCCCGACGACGTTGCTCAACCCCAAGGCGACAAAACAACAAAGGACTGGGCCAAGGGACAGCGAGAGCTGATACTGCCAAAGACATTGGAGAACGCAAGCCCGACAGATGAAAAACGAAAGTCGATAGCCTCGCGACCCCCTGTATCCTTCAAAGCCACTGCCGCCAGCACCCCGACCACTTCGGTGCGCGTGGCTCCTATCCGTTCCTTTCGCTCATCCGGGTCTCGTCGAAGTCTGGGACTCGACAGTAGCACCTCGACCATGCGGTCTTTCGACTTTGGCGACGACTACGCCGACTCCAACCAGCGCGACCGCACTCTGCGCGCCCTTGAAGGACGACGCGATGATGACTATTCGCAAATGACACCGCCGTTGTCAGCCGACGCCGACGACACGACCGGTGACGTCTTTATGAAAATCGCCAGACAGGAACCAACGCGCCGTGGCTCTAAAGAGGTTGCGCCAGCGGAGCAGCCAAGTGCCATAGTAAGTTTAGCCATCTTTCATGGGTTTGCGTTGTCGTTTCGGGAAATCTGTTAGCGCGATGCAAACGGCCGTGCCCTGCGATGGCTGGCGTCTGTTCGCCATGATATCAAGCCGTCTTCCCGTATCTTTTTGCTTGATCTTCCCGCTCTTCCCACATTTTCCTATTCAATTCCCCGTTTGGATATGATAGTCCACCGCCTCGTTAGCGCTGCTTCATTTCCCACACTCCGGTGACGCTAATCCTGGCGTACTGGACATGTTGATAGAGTTTCGCCATGGATGACCGTGAGCTTACTGACGATGAACAACAGGCCCGTGTCGCAAGATCTTCTCATCGCCGACCCCTCTCCGCAGCTGTTCCATTGTCTTATCATCATCCCGTCTCCCCGCCCCAGATCAGTCGTCGTCTGTCCGACCAACAAGAAACCTCCAAGAAGAGAATACGCCAATCGTCAGAGGACGACAGCGCTGCTGATCCAATGGCTCGCGCGTTGGCGTACCGATCGCCTTTGACACGAGACCGGCCTTCATCCGCGCATCCCGGTGAAGACCTTGGTCGCGCAAAGACATTCCATCAATCTTCCTCTCGCTCAACCGTCAACACACCCCGGTCCTTCACCTTTCAGGATCCGATGGGAGAGAATTCTCCATACGCACGGAGAAGACCTTCCCTGACAGACAGCAACACCGGCTACTCTGCGCGCAGCTCGGCGTACAGGCAATCCAATTTATCGTATGGCCAAACACGTACGTATAACTCTTCGCCCTTGGTTCCCAAATCGATAGAGGCACCGCGCACCGAAACGCATCAAGACGCAGCAACGACAGTCGAAGGAACCGAATCGACGGCCACAGCATCGACAAACGCACCGTCGACAGTGTGGGATGAATTGGACGATCTCAAGTCCCGCATCCATCGCCTAGAATTGACCGGCAAGCTGCCAAAGACCTCGGGCGCCGCAATGTCAAGAGCCTCAGACGATCGTCCACCGACCGCAACCAACACGACTATGTCTACCTCGCCGAAACGAGCTTCCGAAAGCCAGCACCCCCACACCGACGCAATTAGCACGACGTCTTCACAACGCGAGGTCCAGCAACCTATCCTTCTTTCCGCTGTCAATAAGTCCAAGCCTTTCCTTAGTGAAGAGGTGGCGAAGGCACTCGAGGTGGCAGCAACAGACGCCCTGGCACTGGCCAACATGATGGGAACGGCAGGTCAACCTGGGCCCATCTCAAGCGGCGCCAGCACAATTGGCGTCGGCACCAGCTTGACGGATCGTCAATTACGACGCAAGGCTGATAGCATCTGCCGAAGCCTTACGGAGTTGGTTCTGGCTTTGAGCGAAGAAGCGGCTGGCAATAAGACTCTCCAAGTCAACGTTCCTACACCCAAGGAAACGACGACACCAGTCACACCAACAATTAACAAGACCTTCACCGGCGGATCATCTGGCCAGCGACGTCCTAGCATAACGTCCGCCGAGCAGCAGACTCTCCCGAAGCCCAATGCCAATACGGTCACGAGCCCTAGGGCCCTCTCAAAATACGAGGAGAGGCGCAACACTATGCTCAACCCGGCTTCGCTCCCCAGTCCCAGGTTTGCCCTTCCACCCGGCACCATTCCTAGTACCCCTGGCGACAGCAGCAAAATGGCGAACCGAAAGTCATCCTTGTTCATTGGCCGGTCGCGCCGTGCAGTTACCGAAGAGCCTGAGGATGGCCGCAGGTCGTCCATGCTGAGGACCCGACGAGCAGGCACAGAGGAGCCGGAGGATTCACGCGAAGCAGCAGGCCGCGAGAATGGGCGTCAAACGTCACTTCTTCGCTCACGCAGGGGAACTGTGGGGGGCGAAGACGAAGATGAATCTCGATTCCGCGCCCCGTCCCGCGCTGCTACAGAGCTCACCACACCGGCCCGCGCAGTCTCTCACACCTACCACTCAAACACCAACTCCAACGAACTATCATCACCAGCTTCTTCTGCCCTGCCTCGCAGACGGTTCGGAGCTTCCTCTATTACTTCTCGGCTGGTTGCGCCTTCCACACCATCGCTGGCGACACGCCGATATCTGGAAAGAACTCCAGAACGCGAACAACCTTCCTCGGCCGAAAAAGCCACCGAAGAACGGTCGCAACAAGTTGTTGCGCAGCCGCGACACTTTTCTCTCAGTCACACTTCGTTGCTGAACCGGGCTAGCAGCATTAGCCGCAGAACGAATCGCGACAGCACGATAACGAATTCATCAACGGCTGCTCAGTCTGGCAGTTACCGATAACGTCTTTACGAATCACAGTCACACGGATGAATGTATCATAGATGTCTTATTCTCACGCTGGCGTCATTCTTGTTTTGCATATGGTAAAACCGTATGGTCTCGGCAGCGGTTACTCTGTACTTGTATGACAATCCACGACGGAAGGCCGATTGATTTCTTGGGATTCGCCTTTCCCGTTTAAAAAAAATTAGGCTGGAGTAGAGCATTTGTATATCGAGCAGTCCATAGGAAACAAAAGGTTAAGGACAGATGCATAGGATGCTTCTGACTTGTTTGGTCAACTTCGACATTCTCAGCTAGAGTTTACGTGATGTTGTAGGAGACGTGACGTTCTGCGCATAGGATATAGATTCTATGCAACTAAGAGTGCATTGGGCACGCCGTACGCCTCAGCGTTGCGATTGAGTTTGGTCACGTCGCCAGCGGACCAGCCATGAATATGTCAGGAACTTACCGCAGTAATGCGTGACCGTGCGAGGCCGCCGTCGGATCCGTTGTATTGAGAGGTCGTTGGTTGGGCTAACAAGTTGACTCACCGGCGACGAGACCAGAAGGAAAGTGGAAGTATGCTTGACAGATGAAGGGGGGGGGGGGGCTTGTTCATTAGATGAGCCACTCACCAAAGGAGGGCTGTTTTTTTAAGCGGGTCTTGGGCCAAACCCAAGTCGGACTTCACACATCAACTTACTTACCTTACCTTACCTTAGCTTGTACACTGCGCTGAGGTTCTATACATAACGCGTGCGTGCTACAGTTTTTCTTCTCATTCGACGTCTTCCCACATGCCAAACCGCCTCGTTGGATCTTGTTCATCTAAACGAATCAAGCACCTCGCTTTTCGTGGCCTCGGTCCCGAGATACCGCTGAGTCTACTTTTCTCAGCAACGTTTACTTCCCAGTCGCGGACCCCACTTGCACCACCTTCCTCACTTACGAGAGGGATCACCGAATATCTCACCACGTGGACGACGACTTTTGGCTCTCAGAGATTTGCCGGTTCACTTGTGTCTTCTTCTCGCTTTAAATCATCGTGGGCTCAAAACAACGGAGGGATGGCCGACCAAGTTACAGAGACTGCCCTCGCGGTTGAGGACGGTGCGCAGCAACAGAAGAGAGGTGGACGTAGAGGCGGAAGGGGAGGTGGTGGTCGAGGAGGAGGCGGAGGGGGCCAGCCGAGAGAGGTGTTGGTTTCCAAGGCGCTTTCGAAGCTTTTGAGGCATCAGGCTGAGAACGCGGGTCTCACGCTCGACGAGGGCGGGTATGCGCCCCTGGACAAAGTGGTAAGTTTTTTTTTGGAAGAATTCTGCTTTTCCTTTTTCGTATATGAGAGATGACGAGGTTGGGGGAGACAAAGTGGTCTTTTCGTCTCATGGTCAAACTCATCGACAGCTACTAACACGAACACAAAAAAGCTCGCATACGGCCCCATCAAGTCTCTCAAAGTCACCTTTTCCGACATACAAGCCGCGGTAACGACGTCGGACAAGCAGCGCTTCGCACTCAAGCTCAATGACGCGGCAGCGGCCGAGACAAACGAGGAACTATCGACGGAACCCTCGGACTGGCTGATCCGCGCGAACCAGGGCCACAGCATCAAAGTCGAGTCAGCGGGCTTGCTGACCCCGCTCACGCTCGAGGCGGGCAACGTGCCGACGGTGGTGGTGCACGGGACGTACTTTGCGTTTTGGAAGCAGATTGAGGCGTCGGGCGGGTTGAAGAGGATGGGGAGGAACCACGTGCACTTTGCGACGGGGCTACCCGGCGACGAGAAGGGTGTCGTCAGCGGGATGAGGAAGGATGCCGAGGTGTTGGTGTATGTTGATGTCGAGAGGGCGTTGAGGGAAGACGAGGGGATCAAGTGGTGGGTGAGTGAGAATGGGGTCGTGTTGACGGAGGGGGATGGGGAGGGGGTTGTGCCCTGCCGGTTGTTTAGAGAGGTCGTTGCGAGGGACGAGGGGAGCGGGGTTGGTGTGCTTTGGAAGGATGGGGAGAAGGTTGGGGAGTTGCCTGAGGGGTTGAGGATGAGGGCGCCGCCTGGGAAGGGGAGAGGCGGGAGGGGTGGTGGTGGCAGAAGGGGAGGGAAGGCTTGAGGTGTTGGTGTTGAAGCAAAATAAAGAAAGATCTAGATATATCACAGAGAGGACAGATGAGCTAGGCATAGGCATGTGGTTTCCGCGAGTTGCAAAAGTAGAGATCTTTGGATCCACGGCTTATTGACCTCAATTTGGTGAGCCTTTGGGGCCGCAAGCATATAAGACATCCAACCATGATCATATTATAAAGGGGACTGCTTGTTCGAGTCAAACATTATGAAGGATTTAAGTCATGATACGAGTAGTTGAAGGTTCTTCCACAACACCCCTTTGATACGTCTTATGAAAGCGAAGCGATTGTTACCGTACTGTTGGGACATCATAGCCAACGAACCTCGGCCCCTTATACATATCTCTGGGACCCAAGCTCCTCATACGTGGCACTGCCCCTTTCCACGAAGATACCTCGCAAGAATTCATCTACAAGCTCACAACATCACCCAAGTTTCCACGAAGCAAAGCCCCGCTTCTCTCCGTCACACAAAATCACTTTCCCAGCAGAAGCTTAGCCGTCCTCTCCCTCTTCTCGACCTCTCCCTCCAACCAAATCACAATCGCATCTGCCATCCTCTCCCTCGCAGCCTTCTTGTGCAACACCCGCCGAACGGTGCCCAAATCGTCCGGGATCCGCGGGTCGCCGTCAAAGTCGGCGCGACCGTCCCAAAAGTCCTCGAGTGCCGGGTCCGTCGTCAAGACGTATCGCGGAACGGGGAAGTGAAGCTGTGTGCAGAGGTCGCGGACGCGTTTCTCTGCTGATGTCGTCGTTGCCGATTCTTGTGCTGGTGTTGTAGGTGTTGATACCCGTGCCGGTGTTGAGGTTGGCACAGGAGAGATTGCCGGCGTGGGAACCTGAGACTGCGCTGTGGCGGCGCCGGTAGTGGTGATGGGGACGCCGGCGCCGCCGAGGGAGGGTGTGCTTGCCGTAGATGTCGTCGTTGAGTCTTGGGCAGCGGCAGAGGCTGGTGATGCTGTCACGTTGAGGGGGAGAGTTGGTTTCGGGGCCTTGACGGGATTGGTGGGTGGCGGTGCTTGGTGACTGGGAAGACTGCTGATGATGCTGTTGCTTGCGGTAGAGTTGGGTGCGTGAGCTGGTGGCGATGGAGATGTCTTTGGGGGTTGGTTTGTATCCTGCTTCTTCCTTGATGCGGTGGCACTGCTTTCTGTTGGCGGCGAGCTCGGCGGAGATCTCTTGGAGGGTAGGACTGACCCGGATGAGACTCCGCGACCAGAAGCAGAAGCAGGAACAGGAGCCGAAGTAGAAGTAAAAGCCGCAACAGCAAGCGCAGCACCGGCAGCTGGAGCGAACGGCTTGGGAAACTTTGGCAGATCGCCCGAGGGCATCATGTGCCCGTTGTCAGCAAGCCATTCGCACGCTGCTTTGGCGGCCCACTGCTTCGCGTCCTTCTTGCCAGGAAAGGACGGGCCGACACCGCCGCGGGAGACGTCTTCGCCGGCTTCCATACCATAGCCTGGCTGGGGAAAGACATCGCCGGTGCTGTCAAAGGTTGCTGAGCAGGCCCAGCGGAGCTCTTTGGCCTTGCCTTGGCCTTGTTCCTGGCGGGCTTCGTCGGTGAAGGTTACCTTTTGGTTTCTGACTTGTTGGAAATCTGTTTTGTTTTATCTTTGATTAGTATGGTTTTGAGGACATGACATCAGGTGAAGGTGGTTTGGTGCTTTAGATCAAGAGGAATTCTGATGCTCGTTGGGTAGAGGGGGAGGGGTTGCTTTCCCAGCCTCGAATAGATACATGATCTGAGGCGGAAGACGAAGGAGTTATGACATATAGTGTAACAAATATGAAAAGGGTGCTGTAACTCACGATTCAACAGGCCAAGCCAGTTCGTTTTACCCAAGTCCGGTTCCGGTCGCGGGGCCGGACGGAGGAGGATGGCAATGGCCGAGACCTCGTGATCCGTGAGCGGGGCGGGGCGGCCGTGTTCTGCCTCGAAAGCTTCCTTGCCGGCAATGTAGGCTCGGAGGGCCGACCAGTCTACGTGCTGGGCGACTGCGCCGTTTGATGACGAGTCTCCCGCCATGGCGTGTGTGTGTTGCGCGCGTGGGTGTGGGTGTGTGTTTCCGAATGTTAGGGTCGCTGCGGCTGCGGCTGCGGCTATGGTGCGTGCTGTAGTATTTGGTTTCACGGGTGACGATAGAGCGTGAGTGGAAATGAAAGGATGTCTAACATGACCTCTAAGACTAGAGAACATGAATGAGAATCATGTTGCATTTCATGAGATGCTCTCTTCTTGATGTATGAGAATGAGGAAACGGAGATACGTCAGTAGGTTGAGACGGGTGAAGGTTAGCAACGTTGGTGGGGTCGCGTTTTCTGGCCGCTCTGCCCAGTGTGGCTGCTTCCCTTGGCTGGGCCAAACCGGTGTTCTGCAGGAGGCTGCCAGCTCTGCGTGGTGACGGCCATGACGCGTCTGCAATCTGCACTTGTATTAGAAGTCAAATCAGTCCGACGAATGCGATTCGTCTTTTGTCCGCCTATCATAGACATTATTTCTGAACGTTATTGCAGCCTGGCCTTCAACATACCCAATGTTAAGACTGCAGGCTTTTTAATAACTTCAGATGACTTTCGAACGACATGTATCAACTGACACCGGCTGCCGTAGAATACACGATATAACAAGTAGCACATGTGGTCGACCTGACAGCATCATCAAAGTGAAATTTCCATTGACGTGATCCCATATAACTTTTAGGGGGTATACTATTGACTACCAAAACGCTCAACACCTCGCCCTATTTCCTTTTCTTTGCGAGCCTCACTCAAAGAAGCCCGTGCCGTCATCTTCCTCTTCAACCTTGGTAGGAGCCTTCCTCTCAGCCGCCCTGCGCTCCCTTCGGTTCATTGGCTGCTTGGGATCCCTCTTCTTCTCGAACGTCTTCTTCGACCTGGCCACCCACGGGTCCTCCTCCTTGACTCTCTGCGGCCGCGTCTGTTGAGCCTGTCTCGCGGGCCGCTGCGGACGGGTCGGGCGCTTGGCGGGGCCGGCTGTCGGTGACCTGCGATCGCGCAGCCGGTACAGTGCCACCTCGCCTTCCGGCAGGACCTTTTCGATCGTTGCCCACATCTTGGGTCGTTCGGCGTGGAGGAACTGCAGAGCCTTGGGCTGCTTGGAGTGCTTCGCATCCGCATCCGCTTCCTCCTCCGCTTCCTCTTTCTGCTGCTGCTGCTGCTGGTCCTCGGCCTTGTCCTCGTCTCCCTCATCCTTGGCGTTCTTGTCCTTATTGGGGTAGAGACTCTCGTAGCGCTCCATCAGGGGGAAGAATCGGGCGTAGGCGACGTCGACTTCAGCCACGTGAACCTGGGCTTCGAGGCGCTTCTGTTCTTCGGGGTCCTCGGATTGCTGGAGCTTCTTGCGGAGCTGCTTCAGTAGTCTCTCTGCCTTTTTCCGTTCTGCAAAGAATAAGAAAAAACAGGGTTAGCTGATGGAAATTCGTGAAAGGAATAATGACCACGAACCAAAAAACCGAACCATGTGGTACTTCTGTATCATGTCGCCTCTCCTCTTCTTGAAGTTGTGCTCCTCGACCCTCTCCTGCAGCGCTTCTAGCTCTTGTTCCAGCTCATTGCGTTTCGTAGCAGGCAGTTGCTTGCCGCTCTGCAAAAGTCTTCTGATGTCTCTCGAGCGCGTCTTGTTCCAGTTGGTTGTGCCCTCCTTCGCCCTGGACTTCTTATTGGTGGTCTTGAACCGCTTGTTCTCGTGTTCGCCGTCTTCCGAACCCGATTGCTGCTCTTGCTCGTAGGTGTCGTCTGGGATTGCACCCTCCGCGGCGAGCTCAGAATGCGCTCGTTTCGTGCCCATTTCTTCTCAGTTTGCGGTGAAGATTCTGCGTGATTATCTTTTCGACGTGTGGTGTTGCGATGTGGTCGGTTGAGGTCGGCCAGAATGCTGTGTGGAGGATGAAGAACTGGCGATGGCATCGCGAACTTCTCTTTCAAAAATTTGGCTCGTTATCTGCCTCAAGGAAGTTGCCGACCCCACCTGGGGTGCTTATCAGTCCTAAACGGGACTGGTAATGTGGCTGGTCTGTGCGCACCAATGACAGGTCCCAATTACAACGGCTCACTGATCTCGAAGCGAAGCAGTCCCGCCCAAAGCTCCAGCGACTTCAGATGATACCTGATTGAAAGCAACTACTGGCACAGAACTGCTCTTTGCATACCTTATCTTCAAGATCATTGATTAAACGAGATTGAATTCATAAAGAAGATTGGAATTTCTCAGGCAAATCGACATTACCGCGCAGCTTATACCGAATCGGTTCATCCAGTGCAGGTCACCTCATTAGCGGGCTTGTCCAGGCAGCTCATGGATGAGCGCTCTTTCGACCTTCGTTGTTGACATAGGTGCTTCTCTTGGGCTGTTCGCTCGAGAAAGAAGAAGGCCGAGACCATCACGAAAGTCAGGCGCGTGCGGTCGCCATGGACCGCCCGGAGCCTGGACTGATCAAATGGTCGCAGATACCCGGCTTCGATAGCTTTATCCACATAAACCTGCAGCATCGCGTCGTGCAGCTTTATGAGCCTACCGGACTTGCACAGAGGAACCGCTTCGATTACACGAGGCTTTCAAAACATGACGACTTCCCTACACTCACTACGTATGACTGGTCGCCGACGGTCCCAGGTCTCCTGGCCGTCGGCACTCAGACGGGCGTCGTCAACTTGCTCAGGATGGACGACAATTCCAACGCCTACATCGAACTGAATCTTAAGATGACAAGAACTTGTCAGGCAGTGGCATTCAATACCGAGGGTCTTCTCGCCGTTGGCTTGGACCGAGTGCGCATGGACCAGTGTCTACACATTTGGGACGTCAACAGGTTGTCGACGATGAATACGACTGCTAAAGGCTTTCCTAAGGATCTCCACGCTTTCTCAGACCCGGCATATCGACTGGAACACAGCGTGTCAGTGTCAAGTGTAAAATTCTTTGAAGATAACCCAAAGACGCTGGTGGTCGGTATCAAAGCCCAAGGTCTACACATCCATGATCTGCGAGGTAAAAAGCAAACAAATAATTTATCGGGAGAAACCTGCTAATTAATTCAACTGCAGAACCTGGCGCTGTCGTGACCTTTCAGACCAAGTGTAATAACAACCTGGCCATCGATTACGCTGACCAGAACTACTTCGCATCATCCGCACTGGACCAACCTGGCATCATGATTTGGGATAGACGAGCAACGTCTCGGCCGGTTGCTTCGCCATCGTATCTGGGCGCAGTTGACGAGGACGGCCTTCCTTGGGGTGGAGCCTTGAGACTCGATAGAGTGGTTGAGATGGATGACGATTCCTCTCTGAGCGAAAGCAAGCACTCCATCGTCCGTTCATTGCGCTACTGTCGAGACCGCCGGGGTCTCCTGGCTGTGCTATCTCGATCCGGCCAGCTCAAAGTCTTGGAGACGAATAAAGAGATAACGCATCGCGACATGGCCCTTGAAGGTAGCCCAGAGCTTCTCGGGGTCCACAAATCCCACGACATGGATGTTCAATATGGCGATAGCGGCAGAAAGAATGACAGAATTGTCTCTTTTGACTGGGTGACGCTCGACTCTCCAGTCCTACAGCCTCGTCTCCTTGTCTTACGGGCCAATGGCACCTTTGAGATCCTCGAGCAACCATCGTATACGTCTGACTATCTGTACAAGCTGACACCTTGGCAACCACCACATCGGGGACTGGAAGGTACGTGTGCCATGCTATTCAGTGAGATAAAGGCCACTAACACAACGCAGAAGGAGGACCTTACCACGAGATTATGGAGTTTGAGCCGTCCCAGTCTTCTGACATGCTCGGCCCCTTGTTTGTCGAGGAAGCACTGTCCGACATTCCTATCTTCGGCCCCGACAAGGCCGACGTTCAGTCTATTGTGGATCAAACATTGCAGTCAAAGTTCTCCGCAGCAGATCTCAACAGTAGGTTGACGGGCAATGCTAACAGCTCCTCGTCGCCCATCGACAAGTCCAAGTCTACTGCAGAAAAGATGCGAGCTTTGAGAACGGAACTTAAGGAGAAGGCCAGAAAAGCAGATACGAACGGCGCCGAAAACCCCAACATGGAAGAATCGGTCAGCTCGCTCGCTCAGTTATCACTATCTACCGAAGGGCCGGTCTCGTGTCGCCACATGCATGAATCTCTTCTTTCGCTGCCCCTGAAGGCTCAGGACCTGTCAACGGAGGCACAGTGTCTCCTGGACCACGTCATGCTTCTTCGCGCGAAGGAGAAGTACCTCTTCGATTGCAACATCAATCGTGTTGTGGTAGCCGATGACCCCTGGTTGCGGTATATGTGGGATTGGATTTCAGGTGAGCAGGTCGGATACGCCAGGGTTGTTGCTGTTGCTAATCATGAGCAGACGCCGAAGATGCTGCCGCGGATGGAGGCATGAAGTTGTCGCCACTCGACCTAAGTTATATGGGCGTCTGTACCATCTGGTGCGATGATTTAGGTCAGTGAAGACTTCGCCTTTGCCATTACTATCGCGACTGACATGTAGCAGGCCGGAAGCCGTCATCTAGACTTCCAGAGGCGTCTCCGATCCCCGAAACGACGTTGTGGGAGAAGTGCATCGGAAGCATTTGTAAGAAGCGGCGACTACCAAAGTACGAAGGCATTCACACCAAGAAGCCTTTCCACAGACAGCTATGTCTAGATATCTGCGAATGGGGGGACACGGCGGCACACGAAGCCAGGGGAGCAGCGACACACGATCCCAGCCAAGACTATCCGACAACGGCACACACGATGGCAGCAGCTCGGGCTCTCTTCAAGGGCAACACGCAGGAGGCGATTGGAATCCTGAAGACGGCGAGCGTAACACACCCAGAGTTGTTATTCGTCTCTCTCGCCCTGCAACTCATCGGAAAGAGCAATCATCACCTCAACAAGGAGCAGCTTGATTTCGACGAGGCGGTGGCATCGAAGACAGACCCCTATCTTAGGGCAATCTCGTCGCTGATTGCCACGGGAGACTGGTTCGCCATTGCAAACCAAAAGTCCCTGCCCCTGTCAGACCGGGCCTACGTTGCCGTACGGAACTTTAGCGACGAGCAGCTCACCAAGTGGCTCAACGAACAGGTCTCGATGGCTGTGAGCACGGGAGACATTGAAGGCATTGTTCTCACGGGCATAACGGACAGTCTGGTGGACATTTTCGCCCAATACGTTGAGAAGTTCAACGACTTCCAGACGGCGACGCTAGTCATGTCGATATGTGCGCCACGTTACATTGACGACTACCGGTGTCTGGCTTGGAGGAATGCGTACAGGACATATCTACAGCGGCACAAGGCCTTCCTCCAGAGGACCAAGTTCGAGGTGGAGAGTACGAAGAAGAGCAAGCGCGGTGGGCGCCCAACGATCAAGCCGCCCTCGCGGCAGATTGCTCTCCGGTGCGTGTATTGCGATGCGGAGACGACTCTCGCTGGACAGGGAGGAGCCGGGTCGGGACCGCCGCCTGGCGCGCCTGATTCGCGCAATCCCCTTATGGCGACGAGCATAAATGCGGGAATCAGCTGTCCCAACTGCGGTCGGCATCTGCCGCGGTGCGTTGTGTGTCTTGAAGTGGTGGGCGTTCCGAGATCTGACCGACCGGAGCACAACGGTGAGCCGGAGAGGTGGATGGCGGCCAACTTCCCAACATTTTGCTTGAAATGCGAACACGTTTTGCATCTGGACCATGCGAGGCAGTGGTTCACGAGGCATGTTGAGTGTCCGGTACCCGAGTGCCGTTGTCGATGCAATTTCAGGGCAAACCCAGAGCTGAACTACCATTGAATACTTACGAGCGAGCAACCTGGTTGCTGAGAGGGAGTCAGGATCAGGATTTGGTACACAGGATGGGGCGAATTGGGAGGAGGCAAGTGGTGGGAGAGGAGAGGAGAAGAGAGGGCGCATCATGAACAAGGGCCCAGACTGCAAGCATGACTGCTGACGGGCGGCCGACGACGATGTGCCCCGTGTTTTGCTGGGTTGTTTCTTACTGTGTCCCGTCGGGTGGTTGTGACGGAATACTTATGACATGATTATGTATCTGCATTCATGGACTCTTGCAGATGGATTCTGGACTCTTTGGCATTCTGCAACGGGCGCGGAAAGGGTGTTGCGGAGATTTGACAAGGCCCTGGTCAGCAGTATGCGTTGCCGCATAGCCTTCCTTCAACGATGTAATGTGTGTGTGTGTGAGAGAGAGAGAGAGAGAGAGTGTGTGTGTGTGTACTCCGTATGGAGTAGGTAGGTACACATCGAGTACTCCCGCAGCCCCTTGCCGTGGAATTACAGCCACAGACAATACCAATAGCAACACGATATTGGCGCTGGATTACCTTGTACGGATTCGAATGCAGAATTGGGCTGGGACTCGGTGAGGCCTGGACTTGTCACATTCGCGCGCCCGTGCTGCAGGTTGATCGATCACCTGCACATCTTCCAGGTTGCGGGGACTTTGACCGGTCGGTGGAATACTACGTTGGGGTTCCCGGGTGATGCCCATTGCAGTGTCCCGGTCAGCGGCCTGTCCACACCCTGTTTTGATGATGTGTGATGTGTGTAGGTACTCCATAATGTGTGTCGTCTGCCCGACGCGCTCGTCGAATTCTCTTGACAACCTACCTAGGTGCGTGGTGCGTGGCAGGCAGGCACCCGTCCCCCCTCCCAAGCCCTGAGCAGCAGCCGCCGCCCATGATTCCGTATCCAGTCACCCAGTATCCGTAGACCGGACTCGACAATGGTCGGGCGTGTGAAAGTGAGATGTGACCTGCCCCGAGCGCGGGCTGACAGGGGCGGAACCGGAAAGAGAGTGCCTGAGCAGTAGTGAGGTGGAGTGATGGATGGATAGTATTGAGGTTCGTCACTTGTGAGGGTGTTCGGATGCCATGAGGTGCTGAAGGATGTGGGCCCCATTTACCTAAGGCAGATTGTGTATACCCGCGAGGTAGGGAGGACTGGCGTAAGGTATCCAATTGCGTAGCTTCGCTAGGAAAGGTACTTGATGATCCTTACGATACCAAGGTAATCACGGTGCACCGAGAGTCCCCTTCCTGGCTAAGGTACTCTAAGCAGGTAAGCGTGGTAAGCAGGAGCGGGTAGGTAGGTATTCCCAATATATTCCCAGGGCACTTTGGTCTGGGCAGGTAAGGTAGGTAGGCTCTTTTCCAGGTTTGGCCCTGCCTGCCCCGAGTGCCCTGCCCCGGTCCCTTCCTTCCCAGCCCGTGGCAGGTCACTCTTGCCGCCCTATTTGCCTCGGCAGGGTGACTGCGTTGGTTTGGGGGAACACAAAGCGCACGGGGAACTGGTCCGGGCTCTTTACGCACTCTTAGTTGAACGACATCTTCAACCAACCGCCACCAGACACCCTCTCTTGTCGTCCATCTTACGTCTCCTCCCACACATCCCACACACACACACACATTCGGAAACTCATTCACACGCAAACACTCTCAGACGTACGCACACCCAACCTCTCCTATTCCTCTCACTCCTCTATCACATCCTGTCCCAATTTACCGAGACCTGAACCAGACACCGAACATCCATGACTCCATACGGATACTGACCTGCCCACAGCACCGAACCCTGTCCGGTTCCGCCTCACGCCTCACGGTCCTCACCTTATCCTGGAACCAACAAGCACCACGCACACATACACACACACACGAGACACACGACAACAAACACGACAGGCCCAATTGTTGCTAACCCGTTTTCTGTCCCCATTTGGTCGGTCCTGTTCCAGGGTTACTACAACTTGCGACGCTCCGCTTTGCTCTTTAGTCTCCAACATGTCATTGGAAGTAATCTACATCACTCGCCATGGAGTAAGTATCCGTTTTCCCCTGCCCGTTTCTGTCCAGTCTCCTTTCGTATCCGGCTTCATCTCCGAAACCAACGTTCCAACAAGAATAAGCACGGCCGAGAAAATGAGGGCTTGTAAAAAAGTTCTCTCATCGAGTCTTCTTCAACCTGGGTGGTGTTGATCGCCAAAACCACACATCCTGGTACTTGATAGGGATCCGCGGGCAATTTTCTTGAATTTGTCAGTTGATGCTGGCCCTGCTGGTTTTGAGCAAGAGACTTCATTCTGACAACGGCCTTGGCGTTCTTCAGTTCCGGTCCAACTGGCTTGTCGACCCTGCCACGGGAAGCTACACGGCCTCTATCCCGTCTCCGACAGGTATACCTGCGGATCCGGAATTGACTGCCCATGGCGTCGACCAGGCCAAGGAGCTGGGCGCCCACCTCCTGACCGTTGAGCCTCCAATCGACGCAGTGTATTCCAGCCCATACTATCGCTGTCTGCAAACTATCACGCCCTTTGTTACCCTCAACCAGGAAAACCTCAGCCGCCTTCGGGAAAAAGACGTTGGCGCTAAAGCCGATGCTGTCACCATTCGTCCCGAACACGGCCTATGCGAATGGTATGGCGCTGCTCCATTCGAGCACCCGACTCCAGCCTCGACAGACGTCTTGAAGCCAATGTTCCCTCATATCGATGACACGTACCAGAGCCGCGTCTATCCCGCCCGCAACGGCGAGACTATCGCTCAATTGCACGACCGTGTCGCTGCTGGTGTTCAAGCCATCATTGAGCAATGCGACGCCGAGGGCCACCGTGCAGTTGTTCTGTGCTCCCACGCCGCCTCGATTATTGCCCTTGGTCGAGTCCTTACTGGCGAAATGCCCGAGAGTATTGATGCGGAAGATTTCCGAGCCTTTACCTGTGGGTTAAGCATGTACCGGAGAAAATCACCCTCTTCTTCAGCAAAATCTCTAGGAACCGATGGTAGGATTTGAACCCCTACGTCATCATCAGGCTATTGGGGCTCACGGTTGACAATGGAACCAACAGGCCCAATCGCGGAAACCAAGTCGTGGAGGAATGGTCGGGGAGTCGCAGGCGGGTGGATATGTGAGCTCAACAGCGATTGCAGCTTTTTGAGCGGAGGAGAAGAGAGGGGATGGTAAGTACTCAGATGGACTTCCCGCTCCAACCCGCACCCACGCGCGCGCGCCCTGGCTGAGATCAATCCAATGGGACCTCGGCCGGCCCTCACCCTTGCTTTTGCCCGACACCCACCGAGGGGCCGCCCCTCCCTATCCTTTCTTTTCCCTACCCGTATTCCTCTACCACCGCCCGAGAATCTTCGGACGCTGTCCTCGGAAGAATGCTGACTTGAGGAAATCATCTACAGGCGATTCTCTGGCGACGAGTCCTTTTCCACGGCCGAAAACTCTTCGCAGGCCGACGCTGGAGTGGCGCTCGGCGTGGTGGTGGAAGGAAAAGTGAAACCTGACAAGGTCTCTCCCCACAGAGCTGCAGGTCATCATCGTCTCTAGGAATTGGCTCATTGGCGGCGTGCTTCGTCATTTGCATTACAGTTTTTCTTCTTTTCATTCTCAGGATTCTCCAAAGGACAGTTCCTCGACGGGTCGCTCAGAAGGGTCGAAGGCTGCAACAAAGTTCTAGGTCCTCCAGCCTGACTAGAAACCGATCCGCACCATCCGTCCTTGCGGCCGATACACGATGGCAGCTAATGCCGGATAGACTTGCCTAGCTGCTGCGGGATGCATCATCTGCATGTCTCTGGCACGGGCTGGGTGCCATCAAATCTGCGAGCCAGTCAGCGCAGCGGCTAGCCCCGAATCCATGACAGAAAGACCCCTGTCACTTTCATCTTACAGCTGCCACACCATTTCATCGTTCCATCTCTTCAACTTCAACTGCTCACCCATCGCTCTTTATTGAATGCCTTCAGCACACGAGCTCGCGCCTGAAATCTCGCCGTAAGCCCACGGCTCCTCTTAAACTTCACCGTCTGATCTTTGCCTACCGAGATCGGCCCCTTCAGCTGAAGAAATCCAATTTCGTATCTGAGGCAGCCATTGGCGCTCAATGTCTATCCTGTGTCATGAGCACATGCAAGACGCTTGACGTGCCTGTATCTTGCGTCTCGTCTCGCCTCGTCTCGCCTTGCCTCGCCGCTGCCGTTCACTAATCGGTAACCTGGTTTCGATCCCTTGACATCTTGGCTCCTGAAGGTCTGCGCGAGGTCTACTGGCGAGAGCTCGAATATCGGCTGATTCCTTATCACAGTGCAGCTCAACGTCGCGGATCCGTGTCCGCTTCCGTACCCGCCACTTCCAGGCTCCGCAGCCTCGCTCGCTCATTGCTCGGTCCCTGCTTGAGCCCCGGGAAGTGGATATTCGCATACAGAATAATAGCAATAACGAAATGAGTATCAGATCTGGTACGACGCTTTGCTGAAGAAGACTGACCTTGGCAGACCGTGCCGCAGGCATACTTACAAAGCAATCTCTCTAAATTTGGCACAATTGTTTTTCTGTCACGATACGGTCAAAGGACGGACACGCAACAATATCAACCGCCCGCTTTCCATTGTCAAGCTCAGCTTTTCGGTCAATTTCGAATTATCATTCTCCTAGAAGGTTTAGTCTAGCGCCTGCGTGGGGTCCGATCGGTGCCGGATGCATCTTCCGAATCGCTCACCTAGTGTCCTTGCCGAGACCCTAGCATCATCTTCGGATCTGGCTCGAGGTTGGCCTCCCTAGCGGTGTAGGTTTACACTATTTGACTCAGCTCGTCAAAGAGGAGCGTTCCTATTGAGTCTAGCAAGTACTTCGTACACGGGGCGTACTGCCAGTGGCCACGGCAACTCTCAACTCCTTCACAACACCATCGATTTCGCCAAGCTGCAGTTCTTGAGGAGCTCATGATCATCTCGCATATGTCAAAAGAGCGGTGGACAAAGGCAGCTTTG